TTGGAGAAAGGTTGATGATCTTCACTGAACGTCTGTAGCCAGCAGAAAGGTGGACGGGATGATGGTCAATGAAATCGCATCCACCAATATGCCGAAGGTCGGCAGATTGGTGGATGCGATTTCATTGAACATCCACCATCCACCCGTCCACCTTTCTGCCGGCTATAAACGTCAACGGCTACATGCGCCCGTGGCGCATGTGCGGTGCCGTGATAAATTTATTTAACATCTTTGGAAATTTGGAAATTTGGCACACAGTAGGTAGACTTTGACATGCAGTCGACTGTCAAACGGGAGCAGGGTCGGTAGCGAAGTCCAAGGGATAATAGTAGCGCAGCGGGCGCAGACTCTGAAATCTACGGGCGCAGTTAGCGCAGACCGAACTTCGAAACGGGCGCGGCTGGCACAGCCGATATGCGCAACATCTATCCTTCGGACCTCTCTACGGGCCTGGCTACACTTACTGGAAAGATTCACCAAACTAACTGAGGCCGGATGTCTTTATTTTGATTGCCGCGTTCGGACCCCTTGTGCACTTTATGAACAACAAATTCCCGAACCGGTGCGCTTTAGGATTACAGCATTATAAGCACTACAGCATTTTCAAAGAAGGTAGACTCAGATGTGGACACCATTGCACTGGTATTCTTAGTGAGGGTTGTTATCGTAGTCCAGCTTTCTGTCGAAAGTCATAAACCTGTCTATAAAGATCATCAACCTTTCTCGAAAGGTCATCAACCTTTTTCGAAAGGTCATCAACCTTTCTGTAAAGGTCATCAACCTTTCTGTAAAGGTCATCAACCTTTCTGTGAAGGTCATCAACCTTTCCGGAAAGGTCGTCAACCTTTTTTTGTAAGGGTCGTTGCTTAGTTTTGCAAGGAACTAGAGTATTTCTACCTTTTGGAACTATAATCCGGAGGTTTGACCGAGATGTGAACGAGGGAAAAAACTGGAGTTTCACGTACGAGTCTGTGGCGAGAGCGGAAAGCCACCTGGATAGCTGTTTGGCGGCGCAGCTGGCACCCGTCTCGTCTACCACAAGTTCCAATTATATAATTTCTCTCAAATGAAAAACTAATTGGGAAGATGATAACAGTTGGATGCCATGCAGGCAAAGTGATAAAATAATATATCCATCCCCTTTTTTTGCCGAATCAGTGACGGCGTGCATTGACCCTCACAATGGGCCTGAAAGCATTCAATAGTGTCACTATTAGATCAATCGACACCGACGGATAGGCTCAGTAGATTACTGGATGTGATTTCATTGAACATCCTCCTTTCTGCCGGTTACTCGAGCAAATATTTTTTTATGCAACTGTAATCAAGATAAGTTATAATAAAATGCTAGTAATATCTTAACGGTTTTCAGGAAAAAATTACAGTCGACCTTTCTTCTAAAGCTCTAATTGATTTTATCGCTGTCAACTGATACATCCGACCGCAAATCATTTTTTGTGGGGCTTTGTAAATTGGTAAAAATCAAGGAACAGCCTTTACAAAAAAGGTTGACGACCTTTACAAAAAAGGTTGACGACCTTAACAGAAAGGTTGATGACCTTTACGGAAAGGTTGATGACTTTTACAGAAAAGTTGATGACCGTTACAGGTTCGCTGATGATCTTTCGAGAAAGATTGACGATCTTTATAGAAAGGTTTGTGACTTTTGACAGAAAGGTAGGCGGTACCCAACAGTGCAATGACATCCGCATCTGAGTCTACTTTCTTTGTAAAATGCAGTATTGCTTATATTGCTAGGTAGTCCTTAAGCACACAGGTTCGGAAAATTCTTCTGTTATAGCCCGAACAGGGCAATCAAAAATTCAAAATAAAGAAATTTGCCGGTTTCGGCCTGCTGCCGGTTAATTCAGTGCATTATGCCAGTACGTTGAGCTGAGAAATTAGCAAAGCTCTGCAGTATGGTTCCGAGTACTCTGAGCGCATATTATTTTTATAACGCAGAGTGATTTCATAGCCGCAATGTCTCCAAATGCACACCATGGCGCCATTTTTGAATGCATGGATACCGAGAAAGAAATGTTAAAAAAGAAAAATTAATGGTAAGCAAGTTGACCGCAAGCCGAAAGATAAATATGATGGACGGCTAGGAGGATAACCTTCGGCAAAATAGTTGGAAACGTTATGCAGAAAGGTTGACGACCTTTAGAAAAGGTTGATCAGAAAGGTTGATGACGTTTAGAAATGGTTGATCAGAAAGGTTGATGACCTTTAGAGAAAGGTTGATGACCTTCATTGAGCGTCAACCATCAACCCGTCAACCTTCCTGCCGGCTACAGGCGTGGTGTACATTCCGCAGCACTGGACGAGCTGCGATGCCGACGAACTCCAGGTAAAACGTTTTGAAGTGAAATTTATGAAACCGCGTACTTCCACGCAATGTGATCGAAAAAAGGCGAAAGCGAATTATACTTCACTGCACTGTGTGCTTTGCAGACGGCTTTAGCCAGTCTCCAGTCGAACCTCGTACGCTGCTTGGAATTTTGGGAAACATCCTGCGAAACGGTGGATGGGAATGCCTTGCTGCCGGAATTATGGATGGAAGTGTTTTCCCATTTGGATACGGTGGCGCAGACGGCGCTGCGAACCGTGTCGTCCACATGGAACCGCCTCCTCACCGCGCCGACACTAACCAGCACGCTGGTCATCATCAGTGGACAAGACTCCCGACATTTCCAGTTTTTCATGGCGGCGGTCACCTACAAATCCCTGCGCTGCGCCACCCGCAGTCTGGTCTTGGCGGCCGATCGCGCAGTGCCCCTGGACATGGACGATGTCCTGGCGGTGGCCGGGATGATCCGTTACGTAGCGGCGCGCCACCCTGGCATCCGCCTGCGCGGTTTGTATTTCCGCGGTGTGACACTCGACCTGATGATCAACGGGTTCCGGGACGATCTGGGATGGGAGGAATGCGTGACGCATCGGCCGCCTCCGGAGTCCCCGCGTCGTGGTTCGCTCTGCCGCCTGCAGGACTTGGTGGAGGTCGTGGGTCCGCTGCCGGGTGACGTTATCCGCTGGCTCCACTGCACCATGCCCTTAACGTGTTCCCTCCCCGAGAGAGACAAGGACTTTCTCTGCGCCCGTGTATCGCTGAAGTACGGCGCGTGCCGGCTGCCGCTGGGTGGCGGATTCGGCTGCGCACTGTGGGATGCCTTGGAGGCGCCGCTGCCGGTACCGAGCAAGGCGGATCGACAGTTTTTGAACGAGTTTCTCGCATCGGCAGTTGATCAGCAGGATACCGAAATCACGGTGTGCAAGGTGAGATCAGCAATAATTAATAATACGGATAAACGCGAATGTCGCATCTTCAAGCATATTGCGCAAAGCAGCGCTTCCCTGTTCGCGCGCGTGCTGATGATTCATGCACATTGGACATAGCCGTCTGATTTTTATTTGTAAAATTCGAACCACGAAACGATTGCGAATATCTTTAAATATATTGCGAGTCTTGCATTGCAACGTTGGCATCGCTTTACAGATACTGTGTGCGCTGCAGTCGGCCGATCCGCGTCTCTCCTCGCATTATCGCGGCAAGAAGTGGTGCGTGGACGGAATGAAGGATGTGCAGCTGGAGAAACTGTCGCGTATGACGCAGACCTTTCTTCGCGTGCATTTTAAGGAGGCGGCCTAGAAATAGGCAGGGTCCGCTTCATAATGGAGTGGACTGAGTAGTTTATCTTAAGTTCTTAAAATGTGGCTCTTAGTTTTTTTGTCAGCCGTTAATTGTGATCAGAATGCGGTTTTGAAAGCGATTGCGAACCATCTCTTCAGCGGCCAGTGAGCATAGTGTTTGTAATTCTGTATCAAGGAATAAACTCTTTGGACTTTGCTGCTTCGCTGCATGCGGCGTTATGATGTGGATCCGCAATTTGTGCAAAGGGAATTTTCTACACTTAAGTTGCATTCAACAGTAAGTAAATACTGTAGTTATAAATAAGTACCCCTGTAAGGTAAACACTATGGAACTTCAAGCGGAACGTTCCGATAGAGTGGAAGTAATAATACTGTAGTGGGCGCAAACAAAGGCACTGGATGTTACCTAAGAATGCAAAAGCACGGTTTTTTCATCAGTTGTTCCTTCGAGCTGCTGGTGTTCCAATCAACAACCGGAACCACGAATGCGGATGGTGGAGCTGGTGGATGGGCGGGTGGGCGCTGGTGTACATTCCGTAGCAATGGACGAGCTGCGATGCCAGCGGCCTCCAGTTACAGGTACATACAACATTTTACAGAGAAGTTCATGAAACCGCACACTTCCACGCAAGGTGATCGAAAAAAGGAGAAAGCGAATTATACTTCACTGTGCCGTGTGCTTTGCAGACGGCTTTAGCCAGTCTCCAGTCGAACTTAGCACGCTGCTTGGAATTATGGGAAACATCTCGCGAAACGGTGGACGGGAATTCCTTGCTGCCGGAAGTATGGATGGAAGTGTTTTCCCAACTGGACACGGTGGCGCAGATGGCGCTGCGTACCTGTCGTGCGCATGGAACCGCCTCCTCACGTCTCCTACGGTTTAAACATTTTCTGTTAAATTCTTGAAATAACAAGAATCGTTCACAAACGCGACTATTAGAAGGCCGCCGATTAAGAATGTATCGAACGATATGAATAAAACGGAAAGAAATACAGTAAGAAAAAGACGTACGGCATCACGTTTAATTAGCAAGCTCACGGTCAGATGGACGCCGTGCAGAAGAACGATGCGCAGTCGGAAACGGGGCAGAAGTGGCGCACAGTGTATGCTATACCGCGTCTAACTAGCTTCTCGTAAGCATGTAAGCAGCGTCCCGTTTTTCGTCGAAAGACCGTGTTGCTTTATTAACCGCGGAGAACGGGTGGACGCTGATGACCGAATCAGGCGCAATCGTTCCACTAGTAATTATGATTTATGATCAACGTTTCGAGTCTGGAAGCGGTGCGCATTGTTGCATTCGCGGGAGATTTTCTTATTCCTGTTCCTCGAATCCACGTGCTCTAAAGTTTTATTCTATGCGCAAACGGATGGTGCCGATAAAGTTGACAAATTCGCTAAAGTTGACAAATTCTATCAAATGGAACCATGTTACAGCTTATTTCAAATAAACCCATTCGTAAAAGACAGAAACCGCATTGTACGGCCGCGAGTGCAAACCAAACGTCCATCATGTAGCGAAACCAGTAAACGCGAAAGACAGCGAACGTAGAATAATAAAACAGAAAACAAATTAAATTCCTTCAAATCCAATCGTCTGAAAAGCGAATAGCGCTGATTACAGTCTGAAACGCAGAGACCAGTATCGTTCGGGAAATTCGTAGCGTCCCTCACAAATCCGAATAAAATTTAAGGAGAAGATGCACAGCAATGCGTGATAACTTCGCCAACAGCAGTCCGCGCAAACCGTCCACGCACCACGCCTTCCCGCGATAAGGCGCCGACGGACGCGGATCAGCCGACTGCAGCGCACACAGGATCTGCAAAAACCAAAATCTCAACCCGACAGTCTTCCCATCGCAACGAACTAAATGATAATGATGTCTACCTTGCTAAGGCTGTTCTGTGCTGCCTCCATGTCATCCGGCTTCCTGCCCATTGTCATCCGCTGGAGCAGTTTCTGCAGCTTCTCTGCACTGGGAACCGGCAGCCCTGCTTCCATCGCGTCCCACAACGCGCAGCCGAAATCAGCGCTTCCAGGCCGAAATCGCGCACTGCTGATGCGGAACTCGATAGTGTGATTGAAGTGCGTTTGCCCCGCCGGAAAGCGGATGACGAGTCCACAGGAAACCACGCAGTCGACAAGATGGATGGTATCGCACGGTAGACTGCGGCAACCGGCCAGGAAATCCTCCAGCCAGGAACTGGCCGTATATTCCGGGTCAACGCGGAACGGATTCGGCAGCACAGGATCACACAGATGCCGCGCACACTGACCAATGGTCTGCGTGTCTACGGCATCCGGGCCGCGGTTGATCAGCAGGTGGAGGCAAACGCGGTGCAGGTAAACAGCGCGCAGACGGATGCCAGTTCGCTGGTTCACCACATGCTGAATCATCGCCGATACTTCCCTCAGGTACTGCGTCCATGATAACCGATCCAGGCGTGTTAATAGGACACGCTGCGTACCGCGGCGTAAAAACTTGTACAAACTTGCCACACGTGCAAAATTGCCGGCGTTCCAGTTGGTCTTGTCGTCGTTGCGGATGACGATGGTGGAACGCAGCAATGGCGTCTCCACGATTTGGTTCCACGATGTGCACACAGCACGCAGCTTCGTCTGGGCCACGGCGTCGAAATAGGAAAAGACCTCCTGCCACAATTCCATCGACAACGCCGTCCCTAATCCGTCTTCGCTACGCGCCGCTTCGGCTTGGAATTTTCGGATCAGGCAGAGGATGTCTGCATGAAGGCGTTCAGTCGTCTCCTCAAAGCACTACAATGCATATTAAATTAGTGAAATTACGTTAGCAAAGGTTTCATACACTGAACGACGTTTGCCGACAAAACTGACCAAGCGCGAAAACCATTTGGATAAAACATAAATGTATTGCAGTAGTCCGTCCACTAGGTCCACCACGACAATTCGCGACAGGAGATGCAGGTCGCAGCCATTCAGCCGTTGAACGAGCTCCTTCGCTTTCTCAGGGAGTACCCAACGAAATTCCTCGCCGAGGTCCACGCAGCCCTTGTTGAAGGTGCCCGGACTGATCGCTATGCGGAGGATGGCGTGGTTGGAAGCAGTACGCAGTGGGCGGATGCGGTGAATGGGGATGATGTCGGTGCAGTGCTCGCCCTTGCGAAGACCTCGCCAATTAACAACGGCCGCTCCGTGCAGCTTTGGCACGCAGCTGATTTCCCCTGGCAGCCAAATCCAGGGACCCCACGGCGTCTCCGGCACCAGAACCTCCACTGGGCCGCTTAACCATTTTTTGTCGTATAAGCTGTCCTGTTCGTTATGCTTCATCGGAGAGGGAAAGAAGACGCTGCCAAACGGTACAAATTCGTGTCGCCGGTTGGCGCAGAGCCGATCGACGAAGAGACCGTCGACGGCCACGCCCACGACGCGTCCATGGCGCATCCGTTGATCGCTGCTCAGAACCTGCACCACGTTCATTCCGCTGGGCATGCTTCCGACACTGGGCACGAAAGGAGGATAGACACAGCGGAACTGCACTGGGGACGTAATAGGACACTGAAGTCCGATGAACAGCAAGAATGAATTTACTTGAGGAAGAAAATAAAATTTCAGTTAGCGAGCCAGACGTGTATGTGACTATGTGCACATCGTAGTTAAAAACTTAGTAGCGCACTTATTTCATAATGAATTCAAACGAGAATGCTGTTATGCGAACTCGAGTGAGAACGCTGCGTATACTAACACTGCCAATAGCTTGCCAGCGTTTTATACCCTTAATAATCCGTCTGGACAATTGGGCGTGGTGGTCGTTTTTGTGCAGTTAAGCTCCAGTGTACGATATAGCTCTAAATGCGTAGGTCTACCTGTGCCAAACAGTACGATCTCAGAAACCACATAATTATGCTCATACACGGGTCTAACGGAACTTTTGGAAGTACAATTTCGTACCCTAAACGGGGTACTCTACGCAAGAATGGCGGAAAAGGTCAAATGAACGAGTGCAGCCAAAATCGTCCTTACAGACTACGAATTCTGTATAGCTACAACAGGCACGGCGGCCTCGTTGGAATAGGATCTTGATAAAATAGTCATTCCGGGAAACGAAATTTGTAGGCAAAACTAAAGTGACCCGGCCGCAGCGTATGATCGAATGCAACGAACATACGATTTATCTCTAGAAAATGGCTGGAAAAAACGTCCATACTTGGATTTTACAGTACGAACAACTGATTTGATTCATTTTCGAGTAGCCAATGCCAAGCGCATGTATTATGCACAGCTGACGTTGCTGAAACAGTTCGCACTCACAGCGGAAACAGCACAAACAAGTCATCTTTCCGATTACACTTTAGAACCTCAGAAGAAAAACAGGAGCGTCAAAATTGTAAAGTGAGATAATGCGTATTCCAGCCAATTAGGAAGTTCTCCCGGTTTCTTTCGTGGCCGCATGGGACGACTTTTTAAAGCGTGCACAAAGAAAGGCCTTGGTCATACGTGACAGTTTCTCCAACTGTATCCCTTGCATTCCGTCCACGCACCACTGCTTCCCGCGGTAATGCGAGGTCGGACGCGGATCGGCCGACTGCAGCGCGCACAACATCTGCAAAACAAAACGATGACAAGTTTACAAGGCACCACTGAGACAGTGAAAACTGGGCAATGGGTCCGCGGCCCTACAAGTCATATAACAAATACCGTGCAACAGGAGCGCGCATAAATCACACCACCCGCTTCGAACAGCGAAGCGCTGGTTTGCGCAAGTATGGGTACAACCAAGCCTCTACGTTTCCTAATTCCTAGTCTTGCATTGCCGCTCTCACCTTGCAGACAGTGATTTTGGCGTCATTTCTCGCTGGATTTTGGACCGACTGCTTCGCCAGAAACTGCTTCAAAAACTTGTGGTCCGCCGTGCTCGGAGTGGCCAGCGGCGCCTCCAATGCATTCCACAGCGCGCAGCCAAAACCGGCTCCCAGCGACAGCTTCCACGCGCCGGACAAGCTGGCGGAGAGAAAATCCTTCCGTCTCTCGCTGACGACGCACGCCAGTTCAGTGGTGCAGTCGAACATGCGGAGGACCTCACACGGCAGCGGACCGACGACCTCCACGAGTTCCTGCAGACGACAGAACCGTCCCTGACGGTCATACTCCGCCGGTGGTTGATGCGCCACGCATTCCTCGAATTCCGCATTATCCCGGACGCCGTTGATCATCACATCCAGGGTCACACCGTGCAAGTACAGACCCCGCAGACGGATGCCGGGTTGGCGCTCCGCCACGAAATGGATCATCCCCGCCACCGCCAGAAGGTCGTCACTGTCCAGGTCGTATTTATCTTCGGGCGCGACGACAAGGTGGCGTGTGGTGGCGCCCAGGCCTTTGTAGATAACCGCGGCGGTGAGAAAAGCGAAACGTCGGTCGTCTTTCGATCTGGTGAGGACCAGCGTGGCTGTCAGCGGGGGCGCGGTAAGGAGACGGTTCCATGTTGAGGAGATAGCACGCAACTGTGCCTGATTGACCGCGTCCAGATGGGACAAGACTTCCATCCACAATTCCGGCAAAAGCGCACAGCTGTCAACCCGTTCCCAGTGTTTCTCCGATAATTCCAAGCAGCGTGGTAGGTTCGCCTGGAGGTTGGCTAAGGCCGTCTGTCGAACACGCGCAACATTAGAATTCATTTCCAGATTAATTTTTTATACTTCGCTCACTTTGCTATGAAATAGTAATTCGTACATCTTAGAACACTTACTAAAGATTCACGATACTGCAAACCCAGGATTCAGAAAACTTGCCAACTCATTTGATTCTAAAGCACAAACACGTTTTCGGATTTCATCGCTGGTTTTAGTGAACATACCTAGAAGAGGACGATGCGTTTCGAAAACATTGTCATGTTTTAAAATAGGGACTATTGACTGCAGTGTGACCACAAAAACAGTACAGGAAATAGTGGAACCGCATACAGATAAGGGAATAACAATTTTTTAACCTGGAATCGGAGGTCGTCGGCATCGCAGCTCTTAAATCGCAGGCGAAGGTACACCACACCCAACCGGCCGTCCACCAGCTCCACCATCCGCATAAATAACTCCGGTCCGCAACTGTTATCAGCCACCGTCGCCGCCGCGATCAAGGCGGTGGCCGCTTCCGTCGTCAGCGAGCGAAACCGCTCATCCAGCTGCACACTGCACCTGGCGAAGATTCCCGGTTCGATGTTGTCGCCTTCGCGGAAGAAACACCCTTCCAGATCGTCGTCAGCGTAGCGCAGTCGCTTAATGGGAACGATGTCGGTGGAGAGCACTCCGCTGTTTTTATCTTCCCACTGGACAACGGCCGCTTCCACGCTCTGGTACGGCACACTGATGATCTCGGCGTCCTGCCACACCCACGGTCCAGAATTGGTCTCGCGGACCAGCGCTTGCATGGGCTGGTGATCAATTTCTTTGGCATGGATTTCGGCTAGCACCGATCGCTTCGCTGGCATGCAGGGGAAGAAGACCCAACCGAAGGGGACAAACTCGCGTCGCTGATTGCGACGGAGCATGTCGACGAAAAGTCCGTCGTCGGCCACGTCGACAACCCGGCCTAAACGGTAGAGACCGTCGTCGCCCTGAACATGGACGCTGTTGATGCGGTGGTAGTCGATGGGCATAGTTGAAATCGGTTCGCCTGGATAAATCAAGCTACTGGCTGCTGATGGCAATCCAGCATTGACTGCCTCGAGTAAACTCAGAAGGATAAAAAATAGGCAAAGTCATGCGCAAAACGACGACAAGTCCGGTAAATTATTTTAGCAGACTGGCAAACAAATGGAAATATTCTAAAAATTTGGACATACTGTGCGGTTGTTCGTGCTGATAACTCCGCCCACGTTCTCGCTATTCGCTCTTCTGTTCAGCGCTGCTTTTCCGGGATCGGCAGTCCGCGACAATTCACGCTAGTTGTTAACACAGACGCCGCGAAGATGCAATTGGTCTGCGGAAAATTGTGGGTGTGTACAGTATCGCCATTCCTGCCTCGATACTTCCGAAGCTCCAGATTTGGCGTCCAAGAGCATGCTAGCAACAAGCTTCCACGTACAGTTGCCGTTACATATCCAATAAACAGTGTACGATAGTAACTAGTAAGAATCTAAGAGCGTGCTAGTTTCCATTTTGTATAGAATCTAACAATTCGTTTTCTCGGCAATCAGTTATTGTGCTTCGTTGTCAAAGTCTCACAACAACCAGCGGAATGTTCGTGGTACAGGTTCTGGGCAGCGATCAACGACTGCGGCACGGGCGCGTCGTGGACCTGGACACCGATGGTCTCTTTGTCGATCTGTTGTGTCGCACTCGGCGACGGGAATATGCCCCATTCGGCAGCGTCTTCCTTCCCTTTGCAACGTTCGCAAACTATCGGACGGGTTTCTCTAGCAAACCACAGTCGAGCGTTCCGGTGGAGGTGTTGGTGCGGGAGACGGCATCGGGTCCGTGGATTTGGCTCCCGGGTGAAATCTGTCAGGAACTGCACGTAGCGGCCGTTGTGCAGTGGCAAAGTGTGCAGGGAGCGCGGTGCACCGACATCCTCCGGGTCCAACGCATTCGTCCAGCATACGACGTCGCCATGCTGGACAAGAAACCCTCGCTAGCCAGATTGGCAGCACACACCTTCATCAAGCGCAGTGTGGACCTGGGCCAGGAATGGCGCTCGCTGTCCGCTGCAGAATCCGCGGCGCTCATCCAGCAGTTCAACAGACTCAGCCGGTATCTCGCTTTGCCGGTTTCCTTAGTGGACCTCGTGGATGGCCAACTGAACTACATTTTCAAGCGCCATTATAGTACAATTGGCTTTTCTAACAATCAGGTCGGTTGATTTGGTGCTGTGCGTCGCTTTGCTTAACCGTTATAATGTGTTGCAGAAGATCAACCGCTTCCAGGACGCGCTACTCACCTTAATTAAGAGACGTCTTAAGAACGAATCGTCCACCCATAGTCTTACGGCGCCGCTACCGGCGGACCTGTGGCAGGAGGCCTTCTCCCACTTGGACAACGTGACGCAGACGAAGCTGCGTGCCGTGTGCACCACGTGGAACCGCATCATGGAGGCCCAGCGCTGTATTCCACTCTCGTCATCGAAGACACGGATGAAAACGGATTTAACCCGTTCCTTCGCTTGGCGACGGTGCACAAATACTTCCGCTCCGGGACGCGGCGCGTGGCCATAACTGGCCGGAAAAAGGGAAAAGGGATGAGCGCGGGCTCCGCAATGGAAATCTGCGCCATGATCCAGGAAGTGGCTGCTCAGCGAACCGGCATCCAACTGCGCGCTGTTTACCTGCGCCGCGTCCATCTGAACCTGCTGATCAGTGACGGTGTCGTCAGTCTGTACTCTGGCCATTGCGGCCTTCACGGGCCTGTTTCTTTCGCGCATCCTTTCCTGGAGCAGGAAGATGCGGAGTACCGCTCGTATGTGCCGCTGAAGGATTTCGTTGACGGAATGCGCCGTCTACCGTGCGACACCGTCCACATTGACGACTGCGTGGTGTCCTTGCCGTTTGTCATCTATCGTAATTCGACGCAAGAGAACGTTCAGTCTCAGATCCAGTTCACCATCGGCGCCGTCCGATTGCATCCGGATACTGATTTCAGCATCGCGTTGTGGGATGCGTTTGACGCGGCGCTGTTGCTGTCGGGTGAGCGCCCGCTGAACGAGTTGCGACAGCGGTTGACAAAGGGCGGGAATTCTGGTAAAAAGGATGAAATGGCCATCACCACCTGCCAGGTACGCTCAACAGCTGCGTCTTTCCTAACTCTGCATAGGTTTTCCAGCGACTTGAAGAATACTGATTGATTTCATTTTGTTGCAGATGCTGTATGCGCTGCAGACGGCCGATCCGCGTCCGACCTATCCGCCGCATGCCTTTCCGCGTTACTGCGGGAAGAAATGGTGCGTGGACGGCCTGCGCGATTTGCAGTTGGAGAAGTTGTCGCGCGTGACCCTGCATTTTCTCCTAAAACTGACTGGGATTTTGTGAAATGTTGCGATGTATTGGCGATCATTAGCTCGCTGCATTCGCTCCATATTATGTACTTTATTCCCTGCTTCTTCCTTGCAATGAAGGAATTGGATCATCTCTTCTACGTTGATTTAGTTCACTGCTGTTTTTTTGAATTGAGAGAGAACGGTTTTTGTGGTATGTGTAAGGTAACGAGAAACATTAAATACACTTCACAGGCTTCGATCACGACAGTCACAATCCTGATTCTTTATGGCAGCTGTCAAGTATTTGAACTTATTTCCGGCATTCAGGTATCGATATACTGCATATGGGTTTCTCGATCGGACGCGGCAGCAAACCGTCAAATTTAATCTTGCAGGTTAGCAGCGCTTCAGTTGGATGCACCGTAATGACGTTGTTCTTTAGTGAACGAATCGACGTGATGGCACGAATCGGCTGTTAATCGAATCGGCATGATGGGTGTCGTTACTAAGAACCGTACACTGCGCCCTAAATAGGCGGGGCCCATCGTCCAGCGTTTGTAGCCTTTCTGCTCGGACTGGTCGTTCGCAGCGTTTCGGTTAGTATACATTTATATGTCACTATCGATGTACACACGGTGGTTTGTGAGTGAGTTTGTATTGCAGACTTTGAAGTTCGCTTCGGACTCAGTTGTCACCGATCTGTTGTGAACGCGAAGTGATATTGTTCGTATTCACAGCCAAATCATTTATCAACGCCAAGCATGTCCCGCGGAATTCATCGCTTCAACACCGTCCATGTTCTGGGCGACGACGGGTTCCTGCGTTTCGGCCGCGTTGTGGACGTGGCCGACGACGGCCTCTTCGTGGACCTCCTCTGTCCGCAACAACGTCGCGAGTTTTATCCCTTCAGCCGAATCTTTTAGCCCCGCCCCCTGGAAGACCACCATCTGACGGCGAAACGTGCCGCAGACTTGGGTCTGCGCGTTCTGGTTCGCGACGGACCGTCGGGTCCGTGGATTTGGCGGGACGCTGACATTGCCCACATTCGGTGCCAGAGCTCTGAAGCGGCCGTCGTGCAGTGGAGGAATAGGGGCAGTGAAGTGCCGCACACCGCTATCGTTCCCGTCGAGCGGCTGCACTGGAAACGGACCCAGCAGCAAGAGTGCGTCGCACCGCGAACGTTTGTCAAGCGCTGCGTCCAGCTGCAGCAGACGTTCCCGGCACTTTCGCTGGAAGAGACCCAGGTCCTGCTCCAACGTAGGCGGGTGCGGTACGGCTGGCAAGATGCTGGAGTGTGCCCGGTGGACCTCGTGGACAACCGGTTGGAGGTGGTGTACCGGCCCTCGGGGTGGCTAGGGGGCGATGACGACCGCTCATTTCTGGTAAAGATGCATAGCACGCGGATGTTTTAGTATCGATGCGGTTCGAACAGCCGAGCGACGGTGTATCTAGCATGCCTCTAAACGCATTACCAAACATGTGCAGTTTTCTTCCGGTTGTTTGTTTAGATGGCCGTCGATAATCTCAAGGACACCATAGAATTTTGCTGGCCGGAGACACCATCGGAAACGAATGCCACGATCGTGCTGCCATCGGAAATCTGGATGCAGGTGTTCTCCCATCTGGAGACCCTGGCGCAGACGCAACTCCGCTCGGTCTCCGCCACATGGAACCACCTCCTCACTGGGCCGACACTGACCGCCACGATCGGTATTTTTACAGGCAATTGCCGGCGACACAACCGGCATTTCCGCTATCACAACGCCGCGGTTATCTATCACTGCCTGCGCGCCCACACCCGCGATATAGTCGTCGTGGCGCAGCACGCATGGCATTTCGACATGAATGACGTCATGGCACTGGCGGGGATGATTGCATACGGGGGAACGCAGCATTCCGGTATCCGCTTGCGATGTCTGCATTTCCGCGGGGTGACGCTGCGGCTGGTAATCAACGGGTTTCCAGCGAAGCCGACGGAGTGTGTCCGGCATCGGAGCAGCGCGGCCGCGGACGAAAAGCCGGTCCAGAACTTTCACGGCGAGTGCTACAGTCGCCTACAGGATTTTGTGGACGTGTACGCCGGTCTGCCGTCTGTCGCCCTGCGCCTGACGCAGTGCCCAGCGGTCCTGGTCTGCGCCCTGCCCGATCGCCGGTCAGCCTGGGGCCACACGGATTTCCTCAGTGCCCACATATCAGCGGATTCCTGTCAATCGCCAGTCCCGTTGGGCGGCAAGTTCGGCGCGACGCTGTGGCAGACGTGGGAGGCGGGCCTGACGAAGACGCATGGCTTCACGCTGCAGCATTTGACCGACTTGCTGGCCACATCCGACCAATGGGGCGGGACTACACGGGAGGATATCTGTCAGGTCAGTTTCACTATGTTCGCTTATTCTGCATCTGTCCACTTTATCACTTCACACGAAAGAATTAACCGTGTTGGGTGTTGATAGGTACTGTGCGGAGTGCAGTCAAGGGATCCGCGTCCCCTGTCGCCTTTCCGCGGGAAGAAATGGTGCGTGGACGGCCTGCGACAGTTGCCGTGGGAGCAATTATCGCGGATGACTCAGCATTTTCTCCTGCTCCTTCCCTGGTTGGCGTCCCGAAAAGCGCCGTTCTGATCATTATGTCCCGTCGCTCAGGGTGTCTGTGCCATATGACGTGGACCTTCATCTACGCTTAGACGATTCT